AACATATATAATATAATATATACATATAATTATAATATTATATACATATATAGCATATATCATATATATATGTATACATATATATATAGACATATAATATATACATATAACATATATATTATAACATATATATAATACTATATAGATATATACGTATATATATGTATAATATATAATGTATATATATATATATAAATAAATAAATAATATATATATATATATATATATATATAATATATATTATATATATATATATATAGAGAGAGAGAGAGAGAGAGAGAGAGAGAGGGAGATAGAGAGATGTTATATGTATATATATGTATGTATGTATATATATGTATAATATGTATATATATGATATATATAACATGTATATCTGGCATTATATTAAATATAATATCTATACATATGTTACTATGATCTACAATTATATACATAATGCATATCGGATAGGGAGATCTCAACTCTCCTTCCTCGCTGTACTTCGCTCCTCTGCTCTCCTCACTCCGCAGAGGCTCGCAGTGCTGACTCGGTCGAGGATAAGAGCCTCGCGCACCGCGTCCTCCAGCAGCCGTAGGTAGTCGATTCCTGCCAGACTGGGCTCCCAGGCGTTGTCGGCTCAGCGTCACTGCCCGGGGGAATGGCGACGCTAGTGGTAATTGGTGGTCATCGTGATGTTATGGTTGTAGAGATGGTAATGGTAGTGGCAATGGTAATGGTTTATTAGTGACAGTGATGGTGACTGTGGTGTCAATGGTAACGGTAAATGGGCCATTGGGATTGCAATGGTGGTAATAGTTATACTGGTGGTTATAATTAATGTCAAAGAATATGGTTATAGCAATGCTTAAAATGCTGGTGACGGGGTGGCAATGGCATAATGGTAATGTAAGGAGGAAATGGAAATGTGAAGTGCAGCACACTGACAGTAATATGAATGACGTTCACACCGGTAATAAGGATATAACAGTCATGAATGTGTAATAGCATAATATTTTTTATGAAGGTAGTAGTTTTATGAACAAAGTGGTGTGTTCTTTTGCAACTTATAACTGTGTGCGTATGAACAGTAAGTGTTATCATACAAGTGTGTGTGTGTGTGTGTGGTGCGCGCGTATGTTTGCGTAGTGTATGTGTGCGCTAGTCTACGGGTGTGCTCCAAGGCGCCCACCCTTGACCCTCCTGCAGCCACGGCAGGAGAAGACGCAAGGGGCAGGTCGGTGTGAGGGTACACGGTGACGTCTTGGCGTGGAGGTTCGGCGACCAGGACGCGGCTGTCGCTCGTCCAGGCGTAGGACCGCGAGATGTCCTGGCGGTCGGGTCGTCCCTGGGTTGGATTTGATCCTATTTATTTACAGAACAGTGTACATGCCTTGTAAAAGAGCCAGGTAAGTCCCCTGAGAGCGGGGAGGGCGGGGGGGGGGTTATTAAGGGTTGAGAGGAGGGTCAAAATAATCAATACATACATATATATATTATATATATTATATATATTATATATATATATATATTATATAAATCTATTTTGAAGTGCTACAAATTACAAAGTGTGTGTGTGTGTGTGTGTGTTAGGTACATGTGTGTATGTATTTATATACATATATGTGTGTGTATATACATATATGTAATATATACTACATATAATGTTTTTTTTTTTGTGTGTACGTATATATAGAGAAGCACACACAGGTTTTTTAATGCATGCATGTATTCAAACTGCAGTCCAGCGTACATAGAGAGCCAGGAAAAGGTGAGGTCGGGGCCCGCGACCTCGGCCGCCACCTGGCCCACCGGCGTCCAGAGCGGCGTCCCTCGCTCCCGGCCGTCCCGGGCCGACGGGAACTCTGAAGACGCGGCCGGCAAGAACAGGATCACGTGGTACTGGTCGGGAGCCAGGTCATCGGCCTTGGCGCCCCCGGACTGGGTCAGGGCGGCGTAGCGCTCTGGGTCAAGTCGTCCCTGCAGGAGCAACGGACGTCAAGCCACTAGGATTCCGGTTGGGAAATGCACCATTTTTTAGTAATCACCAAAAAAATAACTAAAAAAAGGAAATGTGAAACGCACCGAAAACTTGCTCAAGATCCTAAATACTTAGAAGGCTGCGGGAATAAAAAAGACGTTATATTCCCGAAACTTATTTTCTATACACACCATAACGGGTAAGGTTGCATATCGCAGGACATTGGCGATTGCGGACGGGTCGTTCAGGTGGTCGCGCAGGATCCGTCGCGGCTGGTAGCGGTCGTGGGGCTTTGGCTCGTAGATCAGTCATCTCGCATTAAGCTTTCTTCTTTTCTTTTCATCAATAAAGTCAAGCCAAGTTCATCTTAGTTTGAATTCTACTACTACTTCGACTTGATACTTTCCATTTCTACTCTTCTACTTCTACTACTTCTACTGTTACTCTCAACACTTACATTGAAGATGTGGCGGCAGGAGAAATGTGGCGTGCTACCAAGTGGGTTCCTCGCAATATCGCTGCCGCCTGCGTCACTCCGGCCGCATCTAGAGAGCAACAACATTATTAATAACAGAGTAACATAGGAATAGCATATATGCTGCGTGAAGGATTTCCATAAATTTTTCTTTGAAAGGATGGGAAAGTACCATGTGACTGTCTCCTGAATTTGACATCTATGTACTGTCTATCTCTGTTTCACACGTATCTCACAGCGCTTTAAGAAATGCCACATACACACCGCAAAATTATACGAAATGATAATTCTATCTAGGATAACGAGGGAAAGAAGAGGCCGAGTTTCACTGCATCTCTGTTAACACATTTGCCGCTCTCTAACAACCAAAAGCGTCTCCAGATTCTTTCACTTACGTTCAATGTTGCCTCCGCGGCGCCCTTTTGGACATGACACAGCGGAGCGACGTGGGTGCGGCAAAGGGACATTGCACACACACACACACACACACACAAACACACATACACACACACCCACCTACACACACAGCGCATTACACACCCACACCACACCCACTGCATACAGCGCTTTCGTCTAGGAAGGGGGGGTTCTCAAAAGAACCTTAAGTTAAGGCGCCTAGAGCGTTTAAACCGTCTGCGGCGACCTAAGTTAAGGCCGTCAAGGCGCGTATCTCGTACTTAGCTTCGTATGCACAAACGTTTTTGAGGCGTCTTATCCCTGCCTTAAGTCCCGTAGAGCCGCAACTCACACACACATACACGCACACACACACACACGCACCCACACCACACCCACTCGCAGAACACACACACACACACACATGCACCCACACACACACACAGCGCTTTCGTCTAGGAATCTTGCTGACCTGGGGCCGGATTCTCAAAAGAACCTTAAGTTAAGGCGCGCTGGAGGCCTTAACCGTCCTGCGGCGACCTAAGTTAAGGCCCGTCAAAGGCGTCGTATCTCGGACTTAGCTTCGTATGCACAAACGTTTTTTGAGGCGCCTTATCCCTGCCTTAAGTCCCGCAGAGCCGCAACTCACTTAAGGTGTCGGATCTTCGGTGGCCAATCACAGCTGCCGTTTCAGGCGGCTCTTAGGGTATCTTGACCAATCACAAGCCGTAGATGCCAATCAGCTGATTTCGTAAACACAACGCTGTGTCCAGTCCGTGGCATGATAATACTTTTCAACAAAATTGGTATTATTGAAAATGCAACCCCACACCTAAATTAAAGAATCTCAGCTTACCCTGTGGTATAACACATCATTCTAAGAATTTGCCTCTATGCCATTTTCTGCGCAAATTGATAATAACGGTGTTACAGAGGGTATAAAATGCACAATTTCCAGGAGCCGCAGTAAGCTAACGGCCCCCAACGCGCGACAAATGACAAAAAGTCGTTAAGAGTGACGGAAAATCAGACGGATTTGTAGCGGATGACGTAGCAAGGGAGCCAATTAGATTCTAGCGTGAACATGATGTTAACATACACTCAGTAGAACCAAACAGATATGGAATAGGTCATCACGTAGCAAATGAAATGTGTCAATATACTATGCTTTCTAGTATTCTAATGATGTTTCTCGAAATTACCCCTGAAATTAACTGATATGTATCATGCCCTCCCCAGCTATCGGGACCGATATCGTAGTTATACTTCGTTTAAGAAGGAAATGAGCGCTAGATTCGCTCGGAGCACGACGAAAGCTATTATAAAATTATTCTATTCACCCAAAAAACGGTGTGTGGTTGCATCTATCGGGAAAAGCAAACCACAGTTGTTGGAATACTACACTTGTTGCCTTATCTAGGATTCCACACAGTTTATGTACACCTAATGACACCGTAACTGAGTAAAATACAAATTGTAATGTATTAATTGTTCTAGAGCTGAAAAATGTCATTTATGCTATGCCTTAACTCGCTAAGGCTGCTCTCCCCTTGCCTTAACCGAGGGCGCCTTAACTCGCAAACCAATATGGCGGGCCCCTTCCTCTGTGCATGGGCCGTAAGATCGCTGGCCGTAAGTTAAGGCGCCTTAGGGAGATACGGCACCTTAACGCGTTTGAGAATCCGGCCCCTGCGTTCGATTTCCGCGTACTACCAGTGGATGGTAACCCCGGCCATTCCTCGCCCACAGGCTTCACAGGGGGTAGTTTAGAAGCACAAACAGACAAGCCACAATTTGACTGATGTCACAAGAGCCTGTTACAGCAAACACGATATTATTATTATTACACCTTAAGTGAGTTGCGGCTCTGCGGGACTTAAGGCAGGGATAAGGCGCCTCAAAAACGTTTGTGCATACGAAGCTAAGTCCGAGATACGGCGCCTTTGACGGGCCTTAACTTAGGTCGCCGCAGGACGGTTAAGGCCTCCAGCGCGCCTTAACTTAAGGTTCTTTTGAGAATCCGGCCCCAGGTCAGCAAGATTCCTAGACGAAAGCGCTGTGTGTGTGTGTGTGTGGGTGCGTGTGGGTGTGG